TTGATATATTATGATAAATTTAATATTAATAGTTTCTTTAGAAATTCTTAAACATGTAATTTTATTTGTTGACTAATTTACTTTTCTTGTACTAATTCAGTTAGAGAGTGTAGGAGGACATAAACCACCTTTAAAGGGTTAGGATATTAATTTATTTATTAGCAACTAAGGTTGATCTAATATATATTCATATATTTATATATGTGAGGTTTAATACCAAAGATAGACATCCACCATTTTTAAAAAATTGAGAAAAAGTCAATTTCCTGTAATATGGCTTCAATTTAAACCAATTCGGATGATTTTTTTTTTTTTTTTTATGATTCAACTTGAACATTGTTAAATAAAATCATCAGGAACGGTTTAATCCATGTAACAAAAATTGAATTTCTCTCCACTTTCCGAAAATGACAGATGTCAATCTTTGATGTAAAGTTGGATATGTATATATTAGTCACTTAGTTTAAAATATACAAAGTATAATGGTATGAAAACAATTTGAGCAAAGTGTAGGACAATGTTTTTTTATTTCAATTCAGAGTATTTAAAGAAAGGTGGAAACGAACCTGACTTACTTATTCATAATAAAAATTCACTTGGCAATTTTTAATGAAAACAGTTATCGTGATCCCAACTTTGGGCATAAGATCTCTTGAATTTTTTAAAAGAATTTTATATCAATTTACTGATAAGATGTTTTATTATATATTAAGCACTTTCGATTTTTTGTTGTTTCATATCACTTCATCTGTAGGTTCGTGAAAAAATAAATGAGACTTGAAAAAGTTAAAACGTTGAAATAAAAAAATAATTAAATTTTTAATTTCTATTTTTTTACCACAGAAACAATCTTATCTTGTAACACCATCATAGGGACGGAATATACTCAAATATTCAAACTTGAATATCAAAACTTGTAGTCATTTAGGTGCCTTCCACTTCATGTTCTTGGAAGGATCATGTTACCAGTATACAGCAATACATGTCAAGCTGTATTGGATCAAAGATTTAACATTGGGGAGGCTTTTTTTGTTACTTTCACTTATGTATATATGAAATACTTAGTAATGGAAACTATTATGGTCTGAAAATTTTCGAATTCGAGTTTTCAACTCGAGTGGCACTTTTTTAGATTAGATTCAGTATGTTAGTGTAAAATTAAGCATATTTTATTTTAATGTAGCTTTTATTCTCATTGATGTTCTCTAACAGGACTTAAATGGCTAATTTTAAAATTTTCTTCCTCTAATTTCCTTCAATTTTTTTATTTGAAATAATTAACCATTTCTCGTTATAACCAGGTATAAAAATGGATAAATAAAAAATATGAAAGAATTTGATAATTAACTCAAGGAGAAACAAGATATCGTAAGGAGAAATAAGAGCTCGCCCGAATGATAATACCGAAACCAACAATATTATATACATATACATATGCAGTTTTCATAAATAGCAGCGTTGCTATTATTTAATGATTAATTGTATAGATTATAGTTATATAAAAATGAAAATATACCTGTACTTAAACAAATAAAATAACCATAATGAAATATAGCGGCCTTCTTTATCAGTGGCATTCTGGACTAAAAATATTTCAGGGTATTTAATTATTTATTATAATCAAATAAATAATTAAAATGTATTCGAAAAAGGAAATATAAATGGCTAGCGAAAAAAAGAAAAGAAATATGATACATTAGACGGCTATGAAAAACATAAGATAATTAATTGTTTTAAATGTTTCGTTTGTAATTTTTCCTTTCACTTCTCTTTGTATGAAGATACTTATTTCGGCAAAGAAAAGGATGGTAAGTGAAGGTTGTGTGATGCGTGCACTGCACCAGACTTATTATTCTGCTATAATAATTGAATTACTCGGGATGATAAAAAAAAAAAAAATACAACTTTATGGAATTACGTTTAAGTGGTTTTTGAAAAAAACAACGTGATTACGAGAATATTAATGCTTACAGAAATAAATTTCCTATATTTTTTATTGTACGTACTAACATTTACTAGTTGTATATACATTATAATTTAAAAATAGAATATATTGTGGTGACTTTTTTCCCATTTTTTTTTTCATTTTATGGAGTGATCCCCTTGTAGATTTACCAGTGATGTCAAGATAGAGAAAGCTCCTTTGCGTAAATATACAGAAAGTAAACTAATATTTACAATCTTCAGAACATTATTCAGTTTTGTTCGGGAGTAGAAAGATTTCACACTGTTCCCATATCCGTTCAATCAGAAGTGTTTTGCGCAAGTACATGGCGAAAAATTAATTTTCAATAGTCAAATTTGTAAAAGAATAAATAATTTTAAAAAACGTATTTGGCTTAGGTTATTTCTACATCGTCCATATCATTCTATTTCAGCTGAAATTTATATTACAATAATATATTATATATTACAAAATTATAAGTACCTTAGATAACCTTTTTTCATCTTAACTTTGTCTGGAGTAGTAAAAATGGTTTTCTTTACAAATACTATTATTGTACGTAACCATGACTATGACACTCACTATCATAAATTATGACAATGGCAAAATAAGAAATTTACAGATATAGAGGGCTTTGCTATCCCACGACCAACATTGGAGATTTCTCTTTCTTATCAGAGGACAATGGAGCTGATAAGGTTATACATCCGATTAATTCATAACGCATTAGTCAAATTATCTCGAAGATAAGTTGTAGATTATGGCCTGCATTTTATTTTCCAATGGAGCTGCACTAATTGTTTTCAAGTAGTTTCACTCAACTCTTATTATCCTTTGAGCTCTCTAATCGCTTGCTGTATAGTATTTTTCCTTTCTAATCAGGGACAGCTGTAGGTATAATCAATGATCTTTACGATGAAGGCAATTTGCTAAGTCAGCAAATTGAACAACACTGTAATGAGGCCCAAGTAAGTACTTTGGTTGCTACCAGTTTTCATTTTTATTTTCTATTTTATTAAATAGTTACTCTATCTAAAAATACGAATTTTAACCTAGTCAATAACATGGTCATTTTGCTTTCATTTATTGTAATAGAATGGATTATCAATTAAATTTATTTTGCATATTAAACATACATATTATCGTGGAGTATCATAATCCTATAATGATGTATTCCATTAATCCTTGTTGAATAACTGCATTATTCACGGACGAATCCAGCAGCTTTTTTAGAGAGTGCTGAAAAAAACTTTATATGATGATATTTGATATATATTATATTCCTTTCAATTATAAACAATAAGAAAACCTATTAAATATGATACAATTAAATCGTCTGTTCAGGAGTGTCCATCCTCTCCGAGATCGATGGCGCACCCCTCTCCCCCTTCCAAGAAATGATATTGCTTTCCTCTGCTTAAAACAGTGCAAGCGAAAGTATAATTTAAAATATTGTAAATCATAAACAATTACCCTTCTTATTTGTTCCATGTTTTATTTATCATCCCTGGTTTGAAGGTTTCTACAATTTAAAACTCTTCAAAATATAAATATCGTACCCTCCAAAAATTTCTAATCCATATCAAAATTTCTCCTTCAAAATTTATAGCCCCGCTAAATCTGCTCCCTCAAAAGAATAAAACTCCGTAAAAATTGCGTAATCGATATCATTCTTACCTGTTCTCTGTCATTCCTGAATAACCTTGTTGGGTTATGTGCATATTATATTAATCTCATACTTTTTCTTTTCCTTTACCCTCTGCTTGGCTATGTGTCATACAGGGTGGAAAGGGAGGAATGGTTGTTCTAGAGATACAACCAAATCTATTCTAACGAAAGTAGGAATATCAAGATTCATTCCATCGGTCAGCCACGAATTAAATTTTTAAACCGCTCAGGCTGGATTCGAACTAGCACTGCTTCTCCTATGCTTCTAGACTCGAGAATGATAAAGCGGAGAACGCTCTAAAATGCTCGGCTACCAATACCTCTATTAATCTCATAATATGTATATTATGTATTTATTAAATTACACAAACGATCTACTATAATGCTATACATTCTACAAGATTTTTCTAAACTCTTTGATGGGTGATAAACTGTTTTTCATGAATCCCACATAAAGACAAACCGGGCGAAACTTTTCTCGAAGACATAATGCATGTTTAAAGAAACTCAAACTTGGTACCTAGAATCTTATTAATTTGTTTTATCCTTCTCCATACCAGAGGCATGAATCCCACATAAAGACAAACCGGACGAAACTTTCATATAGTTATTTTTTCTAATCCTGAATTTATTTCAAATGCCAGATAAATAAATATTGGCTCATCCAAATGGGAATTAAACCCACATTGCTCTTGCAACCGAAGTAGGTAGGAATCGAACCCATAACGCTTATAATCGAGCACTCCGGGACCCACGCCCCAACACCCTCTTCATTAACGAACACCTTCATAAAAGCAGTAGGATTATCTCTATTTTTTTCTAATAATTTTCCGATCTCGTGGATCCGAATAGCCTTCCTATTTCTTGGGTATCTTGTCTTTAACTTATAGAAATATCTGTTAAATTACACAAACGATCTACTATAATTCTATACATTCTACAAGATTTTTTTTAAACTCTTTGATGGGTGATAAACTGTTTTCCATGAATCCCACATAAAGACAAACCGGGCGAAACTTTTCTCGAAGACATAATGCATGTTTAAAGAAACTCAAACTTGGTACCTAGAATCTTATTAATTTGTTTTATCCTTCTCCATACCAGAGGCTTTGCAACAGCTCCTTACACCATTGGGTCCGTAGAATATATACATTGCTGCTATCCAGAATATGAAGTTGACCGGTCAAGGCGTTTGAAAAAAGAGGTACCACACAATATTTCTACCACTGTAATGACAAGTTGCCAAGAAGAGAGCGGTCCAACTTATCTTAAGATTTAAGCCTATTAACCTTAGAACATGCTGCTATATTCACTCTCCCGCCGAGTTCTGGTGAGTAAGAGAAATAAGCCTTTTGCGCTACCCTTGAACGATACTATGAAGAGAGCCTTAGAACAGAAATGAGGGTGGTGTTGGGAGATTTAAATGCGTAGATGTGGAAGAAACAAATCCTGTGTAAGATGCTGGGCGAACGACTGTGAGGATGGGGACTAGTCGGCAGGCCGTGGCTGCGCTGGACTGACAAAGTGGCAGATGACATTCGGTCCATTCTTGGCGTCGGTAACTGGAGAGGAGCGGCACAATTAGAAGATAATTATTGGACGTCCTAGCTCCCTCATGGAGTCTTGCACCAGTTAAGAAGAAGAAGATTTTTTGGGTATCAATTTAGACACAATTTTAGGAAGATCTGCTAAATTATACTGACGATTCACACAACTCTATAACGTTCTTCAAGAAATAAAATTTGTTTCGCAATTATAGAATAAGCATACGAATAATCGCAGTTAGTTATTTCAAATTTTAATAAATTGTGTAATCACCACCAGAGAGGAAAGATATCATAACATTGCCCTACACCAATATACATTATATATATATATATATATATATATATATATATATATATATATATATTACGTGTGTGTGTGTGAGTGTGAGAATATTTAGGTGACAAAGACGTATATATGATACAAAGGGTACCAGGTAACCGGTATCATCAGGTAGCCAGGTAGAAGGTCGCCCCCAACCCTAATCGTATCCCCGTCTCTCATTCCCTCCCACTCCAGTACTCCTCCGGCAGCCGATCTGTCGACATCGGCTCTCTCTGCTAGCTGTCTGGGTAAGCTATATCATCTTATCCCTCTTTATTATTATACAATCATATACACACATAGTTTATGTTTATTTATACAGGGATTGAACATCATAATTTTATTGTGTAGCAGAATTATAACCTAATTTTCAAAATTACATGGTTAATACTTAACTCCACCATGAAATTTATAAATAAAACTATTGTATAATAGCATTTTCGAAAAACTCGAAAGGGATATGAAGAACGATTCAAACAAACTTTGCACAATTCACATCTTCCTAATGTTTACCCTTATTGATTTTTAACGAAATCGAGATAATTATCGATTTTTTCGTAAAACACTCAATGCATTAGAAGGTGCAATTTTTTTTTTTCTTCCAAAAACCAACCTAAATATTTGAAAAAAGTTATGTGAAAATTAGTTTTTTTCACGGAATGTTATGAAGCTTGCATTTAATTGTTCTTAAAGAAATAAATAATTACAACTATTAAAATAGTTTTATTCAATTGAAAATTAAAAATAATTAAATTCTATTATACCTTATCCAAATGAAGAATTTCTCAAATTTTTTTTGTTTTAATTATTGGTTTTGATATTGCAATTGGAATAGAAAAAAAATTTTTTTTCTTTTCCTGAAAAAAAAAAATTGTCAATGATGAATAGGGTTCAGTTTGGAAATGAACGACTCGATTAATAAACAATATAACGAGAGTCTGTGATATAAGCACGCGATTCCGTTCTGGGATACGGAAACACTTAACTATAAATTATACTTTTTTACAATAACATGTAAGAACATATCTACAACAGACCATAGACCATACAATAGACCACCGTTTACCAACTTATCTTATATTTCTAAAAGTAACATTAATATAAAAAAAAAAATAATATTACATTTAATAGTTTGTGTTGGGTCAAAACCCCAAGCTGCCTACCTCTCTTCTCTACACTTCTCCCAAATCTAATCTGATGTTGATAGGCAACATTTGAGGAGAAGGAAGTAAACACTAGGCACTAAAATTTGTATAACAGTCCCTCATCTCTATGTTAAAAAAATAATAAATATGATTATAAGGATAAAATTATTTAACAAAAAAAAATGTGAAAACAAATGTTTTCGAATAAAAAAAATCATAAATTAGGAAATCGACTATGTATTTTTTTAAATAACTTTCTTCTTTATTGTTTATTTTCCTCGAGAATTGTTCAGTGTCACACTTTTACTAAGAAAGGAAAAATAATTTTAGTTTTTAACTCTGTTTAAATCGTTTTAATTTTAAACTACTTTTTTTTACATCTTGATAAACTGGATTTTCCAGTCTAATATTCATTATTAACTGCGATAATTTATGTTTTAATAATTGAATAATAAATTTTTTTTAAATTATATTCACTGTATTTCTCAGTCAATAAATAAATTTTAAAAACTTTATTTGACCCATCCGAACCGATTCGTTTTCAGCTTAGCTTTGCATGCCCCTCGATTCCTGATAATCTTCTTACCCGTCTGAAAAGAAGACGGCTCCAGGATCTTCTTAAAATATACTAAGCTGGCGACTACAATAGGCACATTTGCTGGCGGTGGGGTTAAGAAAAAATATATAAGTTAAATTGTGTGAAAAAAAAATACATACCCCTTTGCCATTCCGCAAACTCATCTCTTGTATTGATGACGGATAATCGATCTTTATGTTTTTTTCTTTAAATACTGATTCGAAAAAGATAGATCATTTCGCATACCTAGTGTGAAAATAAAACATCTAGCAACTTTTAGGAGTTAATTAATCGTGTGCTGATGTTTAGGTCTTCAGCAGGGTTGCTGGGCTCAAATCTTGCAAAAAAAAAAAAGCTTTGTTTTACAACAAGAATTTTTATGATCTCAGACGAACACCCCTGATGCAGTTTAAAACATAAAAGAATATATTAACAATAAATTCTCTAGAAATACTAGCTGTACAATACAAAATATATTTAGTAACTAAGTAACAGGCAAGAGTGAACGCAGCTTTTGTATTGAGGGGCTTCAGTCTGGCAACTCATGTCAAACTCTATAATATTATACTAAATAGTTTATTGTTGTTCCCATTCATAAATATTTTTATACGAAACACAATATATGCATAGGACAACAATTTAAAAAATATATTATTCTTGGAATTTGGACAACCCTTTTATATTATATTGTTTTATTTTCTTCCAAAATATTTAGATGTGGGCCAACGAACTTTCCTCCTACCCTCCCCCGTTTACGCCCATGGTAATAGATATTAATATTATTATTCTTCAAACTAAAGCTATCTACACTTACAAAATACATAGTTGTACTAAGAAAAATATCGAAGTTGACGAAAAATCGTAATTGTGTTAAGGAATTAAAAACAATGATAACAAAATGAGAGGTAAAAATATTGCCTTATACATATTATTGAAAATAAATAGACTGTGGAGTTTAGATAGTGAGCAACGTGACAACGTTAGTTTACTGACTAATAATATCCATTTATTAAAATTTATAACTTATATTTTAATCCGTAAAGCTATAAAAGACATTGATGATCATCATATAGTTGATACAATAGTAAACTGTCGATTATAAAAATTGTCATTTTTTTAATCCTGCATTCTAGAGATCGCAATTTTAATCAAATATTTTTAAAGAGTGAATACAAAGTCTTCAAACATTCATCAAACCAGATATTATTGTGGAAATTAAAACATTCTCGTTGTTTGGGCATAAATTGATAATTGTATTAGAATGGTAATTTTCAGATTCGGTAGTTTGCCATTCTATCGACGATACATTTAATTTTATTTCCTCGACTATCTATCTGATGAGAAGGATTCGGAATTTCATTTGATTTATATATTTTAGAATTGTTAAAAAAAAAAAAGTTTTATCACTGTTTTTGTACCAGAGGCCCAGAAGCGGGTTTCATGGCGCAGCTTGCGCCACCAAAAATTTTATGGAGAGGCACAAGACATTTTGGAGATGTTAAATTATTTCGTATAAAATAGCCATAATGTAAGGCCCAGTGACCAAATAATTGGCCAAAGTATGACGAAAACCCCGTGACCGGATCTTTAACGAGATTTCTCGGCCAATCATGAGGGATCTAGCGTAGAATCGCCACTCGCTGAAGTGTTTATCTCAATGGAAGAAACGTTTGCCTGTTTGATGTACATGCAACTTGTACTATATCCTGACTCTATTCATATTTTATTTCAATTTTTAATATAATAAAAATGTTTTCATTGATAAAATAAATTAATGACACGTTGCCCTACCTTCTTTATAGCATTGTGTTCTGCTTTGGAAATTAACTTTAAATAAATTATTTATTTTAACGGCATTAAAACATTCTATAGAAAAATCGATGTTAAATTTTTGAAATTAGAGTTATCTATTTTTGTTTATACGCACCACAAATAACGTAAAAGAAAATATTATTAAGGACTATAAATTAATATTTTGGACAAGTTATCAGGATATTTTGACGTTTTTGATAATTTAAATTATCACGTCTGAATATAACGATTACACGAGACTTCAAAATTTAAAAAGATCGTTTATAAAACAGGTTTCAGTAATTGTGACTGACATTGACCCATTTAATTTACTTGCAGTAATTAAACGGAAAAAAAAAGTCTCAAGGCCTTGCATGATTTATTCTAAAGAACATATAATGTTAAACATATGTTTTTATGTAATATATAGAATTTTATTTTTATATTAGTTTTTATCCCTTTGACGTAAATGAAGGAAACCTCCAGTATTCATAGGTGATGAAATGATGATGGGTATATATATATATATATATATATATATATATATATATATATATATATATATATATATATATATATATATATATATACAAAACATCTGATTTATTTAGACATCATCATTTCATCACCTATGAATACTGGAGGTTTCCTTCATTTACGTCAAAGGGATAAAAACTAATATAGAAATAAAATTCTATATATTATATATATATATATATATATATATATATATATATATATATATATATATATATGTTTATAATAAGTATAGGATTTCCAAGTCAAATTTAGAATTTTCCAAACCAAATTGGTATTTTTTCAAATCAAGTTTAGAATTTTCTATTTCAAATTAAGATTTTTCCAAATCAATTTAAAAAATTTCATAACAACAAATGGATAGGAGAGTTTAATTTTCTTATTAAACTTCATTATAGATGAAGTACCTATTATGAATAGTAAGGTTAGTTGTTATAGCCCTTAAAGACTAATTATTGATGAGGCAGGTTTTCATCCTTATCTTCGATGGAACCACGCAAGGTCAAGAGTAAATACGCGTGTAATAATAAAAGTTTTTACTGTTAGAGGGAGAAACGTAAAACTTTTATTAATCATCAGTAACGAAAAGATGGCACAATTTTAAGGTAATTTCAAACGCAAATCGTAATGCTGTTCGGTTCAATAATTTTTTGTCAGAACTCCACGAGAAGATTACTGCTAATCTACAAAGTGTTTTGGTGAATTTTCCTGATTTCATTTTAAAGAAGATTTAAAGGGGAAGATTAGGCAGGATGGTACCTCGAGATGAGACCGAGTCTTGCATCTTTTCTTTTACTTCTGCAGCTCGATGAGTCCTTGCATTTTCCAATACCAAAACACTTAGGGTACCAGTAATCGTCTTGTGGAGTTCTGACAAAAAATCGTTGAACCGAAAAGCATTACCATTTGCGTTTGAGATTACCTTAAAAATCTTTTCGTTACTGGTGGTCAATAAAAGTGTTACGTTTCACCCTCAAACAGTAGAAACTTTTACTATCGTACGCGTATTTACTCTTGACTTTGCCTGGTTCCATCTAAGATGAAGAGTAAAACCTGCCACATCAATAAAATAAAATTAGTCTTTAAGGGCTATAACGCCTAACCTTATTATTCATGATAGATACATCTAAGGAATTTAATAAGAATACTAAAATATCCTATCCTTCCTTTGTTCTAAAAATTCTTAAATTGATTTGGAAAAATTTTAATTTGAAATGGAAAATTCTAAATTTGATTTGAAAAGATCCCAATTTGCTTTGGGAAGTTCTAAATTTGATTTGAAAAAATCACAATTTGACTTGGAAATGCTATATGCATTTTATCATTTCTAATAAATAATTCTTAAAACTCATCCGTTGTTGTTGAAAGCCAAAAACCTTATAGATAAATTGAATCAATAGAAATACAATAGAGTTGTATACAAATTACAGGAAATAAATAGCCCGCGATAAGCACAGATAAAAAAGCTGGTTAAGGCAAAAGATCTACTAGCTCTGTAATGCCAACAGAAAAAACTAAAAACAATCTTAAACTATTCGCCATTAAAAAAAAAAAAAAAAAACTAGTAGATGTCTATCTTCATATTTTACTTTTAGAAGAAATCTAATAGGAAAATAAAAAATGATGGAGGAAAAAATAGCCTCTAAAAAAATTATTCAATCAACTTTCTCCATCTCGAATAGTTGTAGAATTAAAAAGCGTTTGGTATAATGATTTATTTGAAAAGAATTTGCTGAAATCGACTAACTACTTTTTACCGTGGTCAGTGCTTTTATGTAACTGTCACCTATAAGTGACGAAAATGTCCCACTCCATTTTTTTTTTTTCGCGAGCTATTATTCAGCATTTTTAAAATCAGGTTAAAAATTGAATGCTTCTTCCTCAAATGAATTATTTCACTATTTTGTTTTTCCAACCTATTTTATTTTGGGATGAAACGTTATAGCTAAAAGCTCTAGAATGAGATCAAGAAATCAGTTAAAGAAATCAATAAACATTTTTTATATAAAAAAAATAAGAAATTTATTGTTACTTTCAGCTGAAGCAGGCATTAAAATATCGAACGCATGAGACATATATCACTTGTGTGGGTTCGTCACGTCTCGTTGTACTAAACACCTTTGTTTGAAAACTTATGATCTTGTGCCAACAGTCTAATTAGTAATAATCTTTTCGGACTAGTTCCTGAAACATAATTAAAACAGGACAATGTCTTGAAAAAACGCGTCCAGGTTATAATAGAAATAAATTAATATATGTACACTAATTTTATTTTTAGATTGCTTTATCTTTACCTCCCTACATTTTTTAATTGGTGAATATATTGTTTCATTATTTTTTTTTAATAAATATGTATAGAATGAATTTTTTTTTCCAATATTGAAGTCTAGCAAAATGTTTTTATCGACTTTATTGCTTTGGAAAGAAAAACAAAAGCCGAGAGTACGATTCGCTCGTGAAATTCTGATTCCAACAGTTCACGAATCGGAGGCAGTGAAGACTTTATAAGTAATATTTTTATTCATAATGTCTGTTACAAATGGCATCTAACATAATGAAATATGTTATGGATATATAGGTTGACAACAAGAGTTCACTCCAGGTTTCTCCTACAAGAGTGTGACTTCAATAATGTAACTCCATGAGTGATTAGTCTAGAGAATCATGGGGTTTATATACTCAGGAATAGTAGGGTGGTGAATCAATTCTGGGAGGTCTAGGAAGAGTGTAAAAGAAGTTATTAACTATTAAGAATTGATATCCTTATCCTTTAGAATTGATATGAAGTCTAAGAGAAAGAGACCTTTTCGCTGAAATCTGTTA